TAATCAGGTGGAAAATCTTTCCATGATTTTTTTATGTTAATCCAAAGAGTTATTTTTTCAGTGTACAAATATGTGCAATTAGATCAGGTGCGAGAATTCAAGACATCTTTGCCAAACCTGTAATATTATGTTCAGGGAATGTATTACACAGAATGATGTTCACATTGATACAGATTTATGCATTAACTCTGTTATTAGCCAGTTCATGAAGTTTATTAGTGATGATATAAACATTCTCACCATCCATGTAGGCCAGAAAAGCTTAGACTATATCAGAGGTTCAGAACTGGCTGACACACCACACCACAAAACTCAATTCTACATACCAGTAGCTTGCAGATATTATAAGTTTTGCGTCTTTTTCATGGTACAGATCTTGCAGCTTTGGCTAAAAACAATAGGAGCAAGCAGGACCCTGAATCAATGTATGTGGCATAAATTTAAACAGAAATACGTCACCACCTTATTAGAAACATGGTGTCATAAGAGAATCGGAATAGTGGAAGATCCATCAGTGAGATACAATCAGCAACAAACCGGGGAGGGGACATTGTCCACATTAAAAACCAGCCTGGATGTCCAATGAAGATAAGGTCATTTTATTTACTTAGTACATTTTTAGCAACAAGGCAATTCAAAGAACACGGTGTACTCTTCATCGCGTGTGATGAAACATGAGAGCTCACCACATTCTGGCTCCTGTTTGTGATGTGGTGAGCCGAGCAGCAGCAGTTACAGCTTATCTATCACATGTGGCTGGTGTGTGCCCTGATGTGGCCACGATGTTCTTATGCCAAAGCTGAAACCTCATCATGCTCTCACTGGGGGGACAAGACTCCATTTTGTTACAAATCTATTGGTTCTTCAGCTGCTATCCATCCATTCATTGCCTTTATCAGCTTATCATTGCTGATGTATAAAAGAACGTTTGCAAGAGAAAAGATATGAGAAAAACCTGGAGGTAGTTCCAGGATGGAAGCCACCCTGGGCGGCTGCCCATGTCGTTCATATCAGAAACTGCCAGTGATCATCTGTTTGACAATTATTAGCTCATCAGCAAATTTATCAAGCTTAATTTTTGTAGTAAATGAGAAGGTACTAATCATATCACATCAGAGGAAAAAACAAAGGACTGAGTAAACATCCCTGAGGGCTCCCATCCATTCATCCATTTTCTATACACACTTGTCCCTAGTGGGGTTGGGAAGAGTGCTGGTGCCTCTCCAGCAAATGTTTCAGGCGAGAGGCGGGGTCACCCTGGACAGGTCGCCAGTCTGTCTCAGCCTGAGGGCTCTCATGCTCCGAAATTGATACATTAATAGATTATTACTGTCATGATCCGTGTTTCTGTGTGATCCTGTTCCCTGTGAGTCTCTGTTTCTTCCCTGTTGATTGTCCCAGGTGTGTCTCGTTCCCTTGATTACCCCAGTGTGTATTTAAGTCCACCTGTTGTCTCTGTTTCTTGTCGGGTCCTTGTCAAACGTACGTCTTACGTCCTGGTCTGTGTTAGTTAGCCGGCAGAGTAGAACTGGGAAGTCCTGTGTCAACGTCAGCTCTAGTTGTCAGTCTTCTGTGTAGCAGTGCTACCGGTATTAGCTGCATGCTATTCTCTGCCATGCTGCCTGTATTGGACTGTTGAGCTTTATCAATAAATTCATAATTTTTCATCTATAACCTGGGTCCTGTGTCTCTCCTCACCACTATAAACACCAACTCATGACAATTACTTAGGAGAGGCATATGAAGCATATATAGATGTTGCATATGTCTTATGTTGCAACATCTACATAAGCAACATAGCAACAACATAGGCCAACAACATCTACACATATGATTTCTACTTATTTTTGACACAAATGGAACCCCTTACTAATGGTGCCTTTTTAAAAATGTACCTTACAAGTGTTAAAAAGAAAAGTGTTAAACATGTTGACTAAATGCTACCAAATGTTAAATTTGTATAACTTTCTCAAGAACTGCAGTCATAAATGTTTTGCAGTTTTTGTTAACATCTAGAATGTGGTTATAACCACTGACATGTCAGAAAGCTATGCACAATTTCTGTCGTCACCACAGCAGTTGGTGTGAACGTTGGTTTACAGAGTTTCACAGAGACTTCCTGATGAAACAGAAAATTTAAGAGACTATTTTTATAACTCCGTGCAGCACTTTATTCTTGTGTTTTCTTCTATAAACAGTGAGACGTGGTCTGGCAGATTATTTGTTTCAGTCAGGTTTCCATCATTGCTCAGGGTCAATGATGGAAGCTCATTATCACCATCCAGGATGGATGGTGATAATGAGCTTCTTGCATATCTGACTAAAGGATCTTGAGTGTGCATCTCGTTAAGCCTCAGAGCCACTGCAGCATTTATCAAAAGTTTATTGCAGAGATTATTAAAAAGCATAAGAAAAACAATGCTTAAAAGATTCAAGTAATGCTTGTTCCGTAGAGATCTAGACTTGGAATGATCTAATTAATTGTTTTATGCTACGTTTAAGAATACCATATTTATGCTGACGACAGCTTATTTTGTCTTGAAATAATCAAGTTTACTTACATAGCACATTTCAGCAAGAAGGCAGTTCAAAGAGCTTTACTTCATGAAAACATAAAAACATCATAAACCCATCATACAGTCAACAACTGAAAACCAGTAACAGACATTGCATTTTCCAAACGACATTAATAAAATCATATCGATTGGTCAATGTTCCAATGCTTAGAGTTCAAAAGCAACTCTGAACAGGTGGAGGTTTTAGCCTTGATTTAAAGGAAGTCGGTGTTTCAGCCGTTTTGCAGTTTTATGGAAGTTTGTTCCAGATTTGTGGTGCATAGAAACAGAATGTTGCTTCTCCATGTTTGTTTCAGGTTCTGGTTCAAATGCAGAGCAGACCATGTTCTTCAGGTGATCAAAGGCTGACTTTATATGACTAAAATAAAGTGAAATATTGCAGTAAACTACAATAAAATACAAATTTCTCAGAGATGTTGAAAAATGATGTGGCAATTCCAGCTGGAGACAAAATGAGTTATGTTGGTAGATTCAACATGTGCAATATTGACAATGGGCCATATTTTTGGCTATTTATGTTACAGATCTGAATAAAAACTATGGCATTTTGAGCTCACAAGAGCTTGGATCTCATGAGTAGAAGTGTTTTATAGCAAAAAGGGGACAAACAAAAAGAAATTATAGAACAATAAAGTGACAGGATTAAAGGTTTATATTTTCTATTTAAGTACAAGGAGAATTACGATTCTTTAATAATTTCATTTAACTTCGACGTTATGTGAAAATCTGTTTTTGACTGACAAATTGGATGAATCTTTAAATATATTTCTCTGCATCCCTCAAGAAAAATTCTGAGAAATTTCCAGATCTCCAGATCAAATAAAACAGTAGTTCCAGATTTTTAATTACTTTTAATACAAAACATAATTTTTTCACTTTACAGTTCAATAAAAATCTGTTCAGTTAAATCATGCAGAAACAAAGTGAGCACATAAAAATACATCTATGAAAAAGGTTGAACAACACTGCTTTTATGATGAATTTGCCTTCAATATTCTTTAAACAGGACTTTGGCTTAAATGTAACAAGAGAAGATGACGTGAAGCTGAGCTCCCTCCCCTCTCACATCTAACAGAGTCGCAGCACTTTTACCCCCATTTCTGAGAATCAAACCGACCTGCAGGCTGTCCTTATCTCAGAGCCGCTTCCTTTAGAACAAGATGATCCTGCTGCTCTGTCTGCTCTGCTTCATCTGTGGAGAACCTGCTTGGAGTCTGGAGGTGCAAGAGTTCACCGTTAAAGAGGATATTCAGCAGGTGGCCGTGGCTAACAACAATCTTTATGTTGCTACAGTAAAGACACTTTATTGGTGGGTCAACCTGAATCCCGACAAGAGACCTGAGACAGCTCAGATTCCCTCATATGTTATCATTCACATGTTCTTATTTGTTAAGAACAGATTGATCAGCTGTGGTGTGAATGAAAAACGAAAATGTTACTGTGAGAGTCGGGACCTGAAGAACATCAATAAGGTGGTTTACAGTGAAAACTTCCTGGTGGGACCTCAGAGGAGCAGCAGTGGGTCTGTCAGCTTTCTGGTGGATGTGAAGAAGAATTCAGGTCAGACTGAGACTTACATTCTGACAGCGATAAAGAACCATAGAGACAAGACAGAGGAGGACAAGTGTAGCGCTGATTTAAAGACAATCAACCTTCACAACACAGATCAGAAACAGAATGGAGGATTATTTTCTAGACTTGATCAGTCAGGCAGCAGTCCACCTGGGATCCAAAGTGAAGCTGATGTAGATTTTGTGGACGGATTCCAGATCAACTCAACAGTGTATCTGTTCTCCAACGTGGCATCAGGAGGTGAAACCAACAAAGTCCGTCTCATCTGGCTTCAGGCTGAAACCAACAAAACTCAGACTCTGGAGTCTCTTCGTGGAGCGACTCTCAGTTCCTCTGGAGGTGAAGGCAGCAGACTGCTGGCCTCCTCGGTCGTCCCAGGTGGACAGCAGGTCCTGTGGAGTGGAGTGTTCAGTGTGGATAAAGGAAGAGAAAACACTGAGCTGCTGCTGTTTGACATCAGTCCTGATCTCAGCAGGGAGGCAAACACAGATCCTGACTTTTATACATCGGTGGACAAGCCAAACAACCCGGTGAGTTGCTGTATATGCTGTGTAGCAAGACATATTTATTCCAATTTAATTTGTTGTCATAGTTAAATATTTCAGATTTTTAGTTGCGTAAGTCATTAAGCAACTAAAAATTTTATGCAATCCAGTATAAAGTAGTTTTAATTTTTAATTAAAATTACAACATTTTAATCTAATTTTGTAATAATTGTGATTGGTCATAAGTTAATTGTAAAAGAAAATAAACTTGGACAACCATGTTGATATTTTGCTTCAACTAGTCCGCTTCCACCATCTGGTTTTGTATCTGTAGGAGACATGGATACTTTTAAAGAATATTTATATGATGCGGTGTGGAATTATGTACATTTGTATTATTATAACTACTGTAAAAATGAGTCTAGGAAATGGCCAATAACACCTGGGTGGAAATTGTAACAGTGTTGTCCACAGAGGAGGCTGTCAGTAATTAGAGGAGTGATGCAGAACAAAGTGGGATGAGTGTCATCCAGTAGTAACTTCACTTACTGCTGTAGTTACTATGGTAACTTAATGTAACAGTGTTTCAGTTGGTAGGTGGTGTAGTGACTAATGTGTGTAATGTTAACTTATGTTGTTCTCCTTCCTCAGAATAATATTTGCATGTAGCCATTCACGTCATCTGTCAGTGACTTTAACTTAAAATAAATCAAATAAAACCATCTTCATTGTTGTTTATTAGGTGAAGACATGCATGTTCAAGAAGGACTTACATTTTTCAATTAGCCTTTTTGACCAATATAAACAAAAATCAAATAACTATATTTACTCAACCTACATTCAGCCCAATTAATAAAGACTATAAGGAACATTTTATATTTGTAAAATGTTTATCAGATCATCAATATTCACCAAATGTAATAATGTATTTATTTCTTAGTCAAAACCAAAGTCCCTAGAACCAAAGGCTGTTCTGTTCAAGAAGAAATACATGAACTCTGTGTTGGTGGTGAAGCAGGACAACTGGATGGTTTTCTTCATCGGAACAAGCAACGGGCAGCTCATTAAGGTCAGTGGTTGTGTTTCAGGAACAGATACTACATCTCATCTTAAACTGTTGTGTTTCCTTGATCAGTTGTTCTGACATACATAGATAGACAGAAACGTCATTAATCCTTTTGGGAGTTTCCTTCAGGAAAATTAAAGTTACAGTACAATGAAGAACCATCCTGCTGCCAGCTATAAATACACTTTGAACAGACATAAGCAAAATTCTTGTAATTTGCTGGCAAGACTCATTTATTGAGCCCAGATAAGTGAACAACACTGAAAATGATTCAAAATTTGGATGTACTATAATTGAGCTAAAACTATAAGTACATTCCACAGGCTCACTAATAGAGGCAATTTCAGATTATCTATCAGGAAGTAAGTGTTGAATCACAGAAACAGAGATGCTTGCTTATGTAGCATAAAGACACACAAACCCCTTCCAGAACATTTATGTGATAAACCCAGAGGCCCCCCTAGAACAAACATGCCAATTAGCATTACTCCATGATGATAAGCAAAGCTGGTCTTGTGTAACCAGCACATAACTACAGAAAGTGAAACATGTTTGAAAGAACCAGCTAAGGTTCAAGAAATTCACAGTTTGTCCCTTCAGGAAATGGTAAACAGCCTGTACTTATAAAGTACTTTAGCAAGTTCAGAGGATCCCAAAATACTTAACAGTTCATTCATCCATTCATGCACACATTCTCACACTGATGGTGGCGCTATTCCATTATAGCCACAGCCAGAGGAGATCCTAGCCGGTTTGGCACCATGGGCGGACAGCCCCCATTAGCACCCCAAGAAGTTTTTTAATGACTAGAAGAGGCTGGACTGAAGGACAGTACAGTGGTATTAATCTAGTCAGGTAATAAACTTTCAGCACAAGACCAACAGAAACCAAAGTCTACCACAGCAAACATAACCCAACAGGAGTCCAGATGCCCCAGAGACAATACAATCAATCAAGTTTAATTGTTTAGCATATTTCAGCAACAAGGCAGTTGAAATTGTTTCACATTATAAAAACACTAAAATGATAACTATCTATTCTGTTGTCAGCTTCCTGTGGACAAGAACAATCGTCCAGCATGTCCAAAGGAGCTCCACAGGGCCAGTGGGAAGGAGAACGTTTTTTCAAAAATCCTTCTGAATCCATTGGATCATAAACACATATATCTACAGAGTAAAAAACAGGTAAACATTTTTGTTTTTTAGTTGTTCATGTTGTTTGTACAAGACTGTGTGTTAAAGTGTGTCTGAGTCTTTGAGTTTTCTTCCAGATTAAGCGTGTAACAGTGTCAAACTGTGACGAATACAAGAGAGCAGAGGACTGTCGTACGGATCCATTCTGTGTCTGGTGTGCCTCTAAGGAAAGGTTAGAGAAACTTCAGGTGCAGCTGAATCCTTCAGTAAATTCTGAAAGTCGTAATGACATATTTGAATTTCTTTTCAGCTGTACATTTAGTAAAAATGGCTGCAAAGACGACTGGTTGTCCATCCCTGATGAATACCAACAGGAAGTGATTTCCCACAGAGTTGTGAAGGACTCCACTGGAGAGGTGGATCAATAACAGACTGATGACTTTATTCAGTTTGAACTAAAAGTTATTTATTTCTTCTATTTGCTCCTTTCTCAGGTCAAAATAGTCGTTAAAGTACATCTGACTGTGGCACAGAAGATTCAGTCCAACTTTACCTCTCAGATCTCTACAACCTCTGACCGGCCTTGTAGGCAAAATGAGCCACAACCTCAGTACCCAGAATGCACCTGCATTCTCTCTGACGATCTTAATGCTAAAGGTCAGTAACGTTTGGTAAATAAATTTGTAATTGATCCTACATCATTGCAAAACTCCTAGGCTTGAATAATTTATCATCTGGCTTATCATTAAATATTACAAATGAAAACCACAATAATAAAAACTGAAATTTACATTAATTTTGATTACAGTATATTTAAAAAGCAGGAAAAGCTGACAGTAAAGTCATAATGGAGCTCAATTAGTACAATCTTGTGTGAAAGCCATCTTTCTGACAGGACATGATAACCTGTTCAGTCAAATTTCATTTATCCACTGTGATAAATGAATGATAAATCCAGTGTGAACTGTTATTTGTTGATACAGTATTCATGAGGCTAGACTAACATACAGCTATGTTGAAATCTCTCAGGGTTCGCTTATCTGTCGTAATGCTTGATAAGAACTATTTATCAGCTTGGTTGCTATTCATCCTGTCATCAATGTAAGGATGCAAAAAAGAAATAATTTTTCACTGTACCTTTAAAAAAAGAGATAATTTTATATGCAGTGAAATTCTGCCAAGAAACTCTCATTTCCTATCGTATTGATGTAACCTTATGTTGTATCAAAGCAGGCTAATCTGATAAATCTACCTGGTAAGAAACACTGAACCAGTTACCTGGGTAACCAGTGACTAAATCTACTTTACCCAGAGTTATATACTCTTAACAGTACAAAGATTACTTGTTTGTTTTTACTTGTTGGGTGTAACACAAGTGTGTGTTCTCTCACCAAAATGAACAAATATTTTTGGTGAGAGCTACATTGTTTATTTAGTTCCAAGACTAAAACTATTAAAGTGGTGAAGTCTTCCTGTGTCCTACAGTGTATGTCAGTACAAACCTCCATTTTGCTCCTTACTGCAACCAAAAGCACAAACTCTGAGAATAATCATCTATACTCTGCATGCAGCCAATGTGACATCTGATAATATTTACATATAAAAATACTTTTACTTTTATTGAACAGAAGTTTGTTAAGTACAATTTCAGTAGCGTATAAATTGTAAGGTTTCCCAGCTTCTTTGGTCTTATTTATATATTTAATGTTTAACTAACTAACTAAAATAGCCTCCTACTGTCTGTATGTGCACACTGCTGTACGGTGTATTAAAATGTTTCCTACTATACAGTATTTTGTCAAAATAACTACTGTGTCTTTTCATTTGCAGAACTTGATGTCACTGTAAAAATTACATTCAGCAAAACAACACTGACAAAGCAACTAAAGCTATTTGACTGTTCTAAAAGTTCACTCTTGTAAGTCCATTTACACTTTACAGATTGAAAATTCCATGATATTTTAATCAGCCAAAAATAAATCTTAACCTCAAAAGTTTTCAAATGATAAATGTAGTTATTTATTTACAGAAAGGAAACTGGCCTGGGTGAATGTGAAAAAGTAATTAAAATGAGGAAAAAAAGACAGAAATCTTTTGTGTGTTTTTGTACCGTTTGTAGAATAATTATTAGCATTGTTGTGCACTGATGTATTACTACAACTATGTTGAGGACCATGTATGTTGGTTTCTCTGTAGATGTCAGCAGTGCATCAGAGCTGGATGTGGCTGGAAGGAGAACCGCTGTACCTGGGACAGTGAAGGAGAGCGGAATGTAATTAGACATTTTCAGATGGTTTTTAAAAGAAAGTCTACAAGTTTACCTGTTATGTATTGAGTTTTAAACCAACATCTGCCTGAAACAGTTAAATACTGACTGGTGAAAAGAAGCAGGTTACAAAATGGAAGCAGACATTTGTACCTGCTGAATTTGTCCCTGTTCTTTGTTTTGTAGGAGAGTGTTTGCCAAAAGTCCTCCTCTAAGGCAAACCTTGTGGTGAGTCTAAATGTGGATAACTTTCTACTCTCTTCTGATTCTCACCATAAAGTAAGTTCAGAATAACACCAGAGAAATCAAAACATTGAGGCAGTTTACTTTGTGTTTTCTGACACCAGCCAGGGAACATCTCCGTCTCTCCCAGTCGTGTGTCTTACTACGGCAGAAATAACGCTATTTTGAGAGGTCACAACCTCACAGATGTGATTGCTGTCAAGATCCAGGCAGAAATGGACTGTTTACCACAGGAGTAAGTCACAACTCTAAATCTACCATTTATGAACATCTAGCTCAGGTAAAAACATTTTTAAATGTTGGGCTCAGGAAACAATTGATCCAGAAAGAATGTCAGCCTTGACATTTGTGAGTCTGATTTTCATTCTTATGATATGAGATCTAAAATTAGGTTGTTTCCCCTGTCCCAACATGTCTGACTGATTAGATCTCCAGTTTGGAACAAGACTGGTGAGAGTCTGACGTTCCACATTCCCAGAAGAACCAATGAAGCTGAAGCCAAAGTGTGTGTTGTCCTGTCTGATGGGAGTTGCCATGGTGAAGCTAAAATAGCCTACCAGTCAGCACCATCTTGTAACAGCACTTCACCAACCACTATCTGGAGAAGGTATACATCCCTTTTAGGACTGAGAGAATAAAATAATAAACTAATTTAGTAATTGATTAATTGTTAACAGGATTATGATCACCATTAGTGATATACAAACAAACCATATAACCTCAGGTTGTTACCTTACTTTAAGGCAGAGGTCCCCAAACTTTTTCCTGCGAGGGCCACATGACTGTTCCCTTTTCTGGTCGGGGGCCAGTCTTAGTTTTTCGAGAAAGACATATTTGCGTTTGTAGATACATTTTCACCCAAAATGCAAATGGAAAAAAACCGTGAGCGAAACGGTGACTGGTACTGACTAGTATATATTCCATTGAGGGAAACTAAGTTTTATATCGGTGGTTGAAGAAAAATCCACATATATATGAAAAAAACACTGAATGCTCTCGGGTATTGTTCAGGGGGCCGGACCAAATGAGGAGGCGACCCGCAGCTTGGGGACCCCTGCTTTAAGGTATAAAGACACATTTTAGCAGAGGTAATGTTGACATATTATACTGTGATTTGATAGAGGATAGAGGTTTAGAGCTTCATAAAAATCTCTATCAAATTAATACTCAAATTAAAAGTGCTTATTTTTTTAGGCAAACCTGAAACTTTATTTGTGCTGTGTACCCTCTTTATTTACTTTTTTCCAAGGAACAAATATATTTTCCTATCCTCTCAAAAATCACAGATGTTCCCTTTACAAGGACACCAAAAGTGTCCATATGTGATTGCAGAAATATCCACATTTTATAATGGGTATTAAAATAGCCTGATCTATTTATATAGATTATAGGAGAGATCACTATTGAAGCAGCAGCACAATGTGAGTTGAAACTCTAAACTAGTTAGCATGTGTTGCCTCATTTAATGCAAATATTACGAATGAGTTTAAGGTTTCCTATAAAGTGTCTCTTTAAGTGCAGTATCGGTATTGATCATACATTCAGCTCCAGCAAGGATTAATGGTTAAACTGTAAAGGAGAGTGGATAGTTAAAGTATCCTAAAAAGACCTAAAACCATAAATTCATCTAAAATGATTCCACAGTTGGATTGTTGCTAATGTTTACAAAACACTTAAGTGGAACATCTCAGCAGCTTATGTTTTATTATATTTCCTATTAAACAAAGGCCTGGTGAAGACAAACTATTTCATATGTGGATAATTCTTACAGGTCTGTAATGATTTTCTTCTCTCATATAGTGGGAAGAGGAAGATCACACTTTTTGGATCTGATTTGGAATCTGTGGAAATGGTCATACACAGGTATAACCAATCCTGGTTTTACTATCTGGAAGGAGCAGTTCCTGAGAACAAAAACTCTGAGGTGGGTTTATGGACACAGACACTTAGGTTTGCATTTTAGGACTTACTAGGACTTTGTATTGACTTCCATTCATTTCCATTCAAATGCCTAATACAGACATTTTTCCTAACCATTTATATATTAGGAGTTGATTAGAATTTATAAACACTGATTCCATTATCAATCTCACTTATCAGTTAGATTCTTTAACAATCATTTTATTGATTCTAACTGAGTTGGGACATAAACTCTTTAATTCAAAATATGCACCACGTTGTGTTTGATTCAAACTAAATTAAAGCTGACTTAAAATATAAGTCGAATGAAATGCACATTAGCTATTTTTGCGCAGACAAATTTGCATGCTTTCCTTTTCAGGAAGGATATTTCAAGATATTTCAGATGGTATTTTCTCCTGTGTAATTTTCCTCCTACCTGTCTCGATGGCAGCAGTTACCAAAACTGTGCGAGAGCTTCCATCTGAGCCACTCTGGCACTAGTCCTCAACTAGTCATATTCAATAGATTAGAATATTAATAAAAAGTTAATATATTTCAGTAATTTAGTTCACTTGGTAACACATTTTATAGGTTAATGTCCCACAGACTGACAATTAACAGGCTTTATTTATTTTATGATAATTTCACGGTTAAAGCAAAAAAAAAAAAATAAAAAATAAAAAATAAATAAAAATAAAAAAATAAAGCAAAACATGATATTAGAATATTATATAAGACCAACAAAAATATTCTTAATGCAGAAATGTCTAAATTATTAGTAACCAGCCATCCATATTAAAAGAAATCTGTAATTCTGTTGGTAATAGAAAAACTCATATTGGTCTTTGCATCAAAAAGTTTTCATGATCTCTGACATCACATTCATGTCTTAGAGTTTTTATTTTCCTATTTTGTTAAGATTTTATTACATTAGGTTGTATTGTAATGATCACTTTAGTCACCAACACATTCACCTTCTTATCCTAAATTTAATAACTGAATGTTTTAAAATTCTCTACAGAATTTCACCTATGAAACACCTGAAGGACAAACTGCCTGGCTGTACTGTAGCATATATTTGAAAGTAGCCAACGAAACATTGTATTGCTTATACATACAATACCATCCAGATCCACAGTTTACCACATTTATATCAAAGAGGACAGGAAACAATGTCCAAGTCATGATCCAGGTGACTTTTTTTAATTTGCTTTACTTTTAGTATCTAAATGTGATGAAAATTTCAGTTGTAATTTGTTTCTGCTCTTTTCAGTGTCTAGACTGGGGCCTGGAGATGACAACAGAAGAGTTATCAGTATGGGGCGTCAAGGATGGCTGGCAATACCCCTGCATCATGAAGGGCAAAAATAAAACACATACTGGGGCAAACTATTTCATCTGTGAAATTCAAAACACAACTCATGTCAAATTTTCTCAGTTAACGGTAATATTTTTAATCTGCAATGTAAAATCTAAAATTTGTGTGGTGATACATTAAACAGTCCTAGTTTACAGCAATGCTGCTTGTCATTTAGCTTAGGCCATTAAAATGTTTAGTCTTCATGCTGATACGGCTGTGATTCTTACCTCTACATGGCAGCCAAATCTAAAGTCATATTGTATAAATACAACCTTTTGTTCAAAAATATAATTAAACATAGTGTTGTCATTTTTTCCTCCAGATTAAATATGGACGAATGACAGTTCAGGTGGGGAGTCCACCTCTGACTGATCAGTACCTTCTGATGCTGCGCCTTCTGCTGGTTCCCTGTGGTACTGCAGGTAAATCTGCTCAAAGTTTCAGCAAAACTGTTTTAAACATGTATTCCATAGTATTCATATATATCTCAGTTTCATTAATGAAGTTTTCCTCTATTCACAAAAATGTGATGTAAATAGTGACTGAAAACCGTTTCTGTTTTTTTTTTTTATCTCTTCGTTGAATGTCTTTCAGTGCTGGTGATCATCTGTCACTGCCTTGCTATGAAGAACAAGCCCTGATCATTGGCATCTGTTTCCTCCTCAGAGTTCCAGGAAATACATAATTTGTTAAATGTTTGATTCATTGATATTAGATATGATACAGCTTCTTGCAATAATTACCTTTATGTTGAACAGTTGCAATTTTAAAGAGGGAAAACCTTTTTCATGTTTTCATTTCTTGCATATCTTTTGCCGTATAGAAAGCTAACAGCATCTGAGTGACCAGACCATTATGACAGAAACAATTGTTGTTTAGAATAATGAAGAAAACTGCAGCTGGTTAATGTAACACACCAAATAATCTGCCAGTTTACATGACAACATGTAATCTGCTGGTGTGCATCTCCAGATGCTGAGGCTTAGCAGTTTGTTGCTGTGTTTGAGTCATTCTGTTCTGTAATTCTACTGTTGATATCAAATCATCTTGATCAGAGATTGCATGTTGTATTTTACAAAAAGAAATTCCAGCTTATTGCAAATAACATGTTTTGGACAACAATGAAATCTAAAATTTGATCAAGGACATAATTTTGTTTTGATTCTTTGTATAGATTGAAAAATATTGCAAAACTAAAAAAGTTTATATGCATCTTAGATCCTTTAGAAATATATACTTACTCTTTGTTTTATGCTGGCCTCTAATGTTATGCTTGATTGTTGATATTTGGAAATGTATGTAACATATTTCTAAATATGTAGTATAAATGAGTGAGTGCATAAATATTCATCCCCTTCAAAGTGAGTGACCCAAGTCAACACAGGTGAGTGTGTCAGTCAGGGGATGGATAGAAAAAAAATCTCTAAGGCTCTGAACATCTTGAGTTCAGTTCAATCAGTCAAAGAATGGAAGGAATATGATCAATGTGATGATGAGCCTGGATCTGACGACCTCTCGACCAAAGAGACCATGAAGGAGAATATAGAACCTAGAAAGTTTGTAAATGACAAAGGTAAAATTAAATAGAGAAATTCCAGAAGACAATTAGTTCTCATCTGCCAGAGAGCTACAGCTTCAAAGAAGATTTATTTTCCAGCAAGACAACGACCCAGCTGAAGCTACACAGAAATGGTTTGAAGACAGCAAGGCGGAGGTTCGGGAATGGCCCAGTCCAAGTCCAGACACCAGTCCCAAACAGAACTGGTTGCTGGATTTGAAAATGGCTGTTCATAGCTGTTCCCCACCAACCTGACAGAACTGGAAGAGTTCAGCAGGAAGAATGGAGGAAACCTGAAGATAAGCAGCCTGACAGGCTGACGACACGCTGTCACTTCATCTGTGAACACTGGCTGGAAGGAGAATATTTATGCACTTTATCACTTATTTCATGCGACATGTCTCATTTGTCATCTTGTTAAAATCAGTTTTCACTTTAACATTTTAATTGTTTTGTAAATGTTATGGATTATTAAAACCAATAAAATGCAGTGAGCACATTTTGTAGGCACTGTGGTAAATTTTTGCTGTGCTTTCTGTCTTCCTCTGAGCTTTGGATGACCTGATGGTTGGATGTTTGGTTGGACTGTGGCCTTTAAAGCTTCTCAGCAACAATAACTTATATGTTTATCTTCATAAAAGTAAAGAGAAATATTTGTCAAGTGTTTTTACAAGAGATCAATGATACTTATGGTTTGTTCTGGTATCAACCGATATGTGCAATATGTTCACCAATCAATTAAAGATGGTCATTTTACTTTAGGTAGAAAAAAAACAATATACAAATCAAACAGAAGATGTAGTGCTAGATAAAAATACACTAAATCTATGTTTTTGTTTCGTTTCCTAAAGAAATGGCTGAAAAATTAAATCCTACACTAGTGTAGTAATTTGTCTAGAGACGGCTCGGTGCAAATCTGCCATCTGCTGGTGAAAACAGGTAAAGGTTAAGGTTGGGCGATAACAAAGACCAGTGGTTCCCAAACTTTTTCTTCTGCGTCCCCCCAAGTGGTTTCCAAAAATTTTCTGCGCCCCCCCCCTATGGATTACAAATGGCTGTCTGGTTGAAACAACGCGTGACGGATGGGGGGGAGGCATCGAGTTTTT